AGTTTACTTTCTTGAAAAGAATCAATAAAACCATGCGTTGACCTGATTCAGTGGCTCAGTCTATCTCTGAAGGCTGAGTCCCTTGGTCTCGCTCTTAAATCTTACTTCTGTCTCTTGTACTTATTCAATCTGCGCCGCCCCTCTCGTGTCCCATTTGCCCTTGCCACGCTGGACGTGACATTTGGAGCTCAGAAGTGGCTATCAGGTACCAACACTTTGGTAGGATGTCAGAAATCATTTGACTTCTTTCTTCCCTGAGCGCCCATCCTGTTGGCTGAGAGCACTGTTTTAGTTGGACCAGGATATGCGGTTGAATTCCCTGTGGGCCATTCGAAGCTTCTCCTACAAGGGACAAGTAGACAAGAGCCGATTGTCAAAGAGCTTGGCCTTTGGCTCAGTGACACCAGTGCGAGCTGGGAGTGGCTGGAATGACCAAGCACAGAAGAGATTCAAATTATGTAAGAACTGGCCGATCTGTCAAAACGACAGCCAGAAATGTGTCTGCAGCCAGGGAGAAGTAGAGGTCTTGTCATGGTGGTAAAATAGTAGCCAGCCACAGTGAAAAAGCTTGAGGTCACCCAGTGGGAGAGGCTACCCTTGGGGCTGACGTCAGACAGCACCTGGACTGTGATGTGCACAGGCCTGGCCACTCTCAGGGCTCCAGGTAGTCTTGAGGGGCCATTTTTTCTCTATCTCTCATGGCAGCAGCCAACAACTGCCTGCTTGGCTCTGGGTCTTGATACCCAAGGACTATAGCATGGCTTTGCCATGCAGAACTGGTGTTCGAGCTCCTGGCTGAGCAAGCTGAAAAAAACCAAACACATCCCCACTTACCTCACATTCCCTTCCTGCCAATCACCCTCAGAGCAGGCAGAGACACTCACAATCAGAGAATTCACCCTGGAACTGAAATCACAGGTCACAACACTTTTATGAGGCAGAAGTTATGGTTGAATTAAGCCCATCCCCACTTGAAAGTCACAAGAAGTTTTCCCATTTTGATGGAGCTGGTGAGGCTGGGATGTCCAGTGGAGCCTCAGCACTGACTGGCCTTAAAGACACAACTCCTGGGTGAAAGTACTATCTCTGTTGCTGGCCACAAAAGTTTGAACAAGTCATGCAATCTCTCGTAAGCTGGGTCTTCACATTTGTGAAGCAGCTCACAGAGTTATCAGGGAGGTTGAATAAAGGCAGATAATGTATGTGAAAACCCTTTGTAAGAATGAGGTCGTTTTACTACATGGACATGGTAAGTACAATGCTTTGCTGATTAGTGTTGTCCAGGAAAGCATAACATTCTTCTTAGAGCTGTTTCTAGAAAATAGTTATCTGCAACTGCTATTTCAGAGCTCTCCTCCAGCGGGGCTTCTCTTTTCTACTGGCTGCACAGAGGCTCCGAGCTGCTGCATTGGGGACTCACCTGCCCCAAAGTTGTAGATCACTCTGGCATTTCTTTCTACTCTTTCCAGGCTTACTTGATTTGATTCATTTTTCTCTTTTATTTACACGACCTTGTATTTCACGTATCGCTGTCTTAAATCCTTTTTGGGACACAGTAGAGTATAATTAGGTACATACTGTATACACATAGAAACACTGGTCACTTCGTATGCCACTATTTTGCCTACCTTAAGAAAATACTATGTTTGTTAGGCTAGGTCATAGTAAAATACAATACACAACCTGAGATGAGCCACAGAAAGCCTCCTGCGCCTGGCTTAAGAAAAGGGTCCTACAAATGCTAATTTCATCAGAAATTCATTGGACTCTTCCAGGCACAAAGGCATTAAGCGGCCGCGCGGGTTTCTTAGAGGGATTCAACTCACTTGGGTTTTCCTCCCAGCGTCTTTTGCCAGAGCAATTCCGGTGGAGTATGAGGTGAAGTGAAAAGTGGAGGAGGGGCAAAGGCTGGATTGGCGAACCCAAGTGTGAGGGGCCGGCGAAGCTGTGAGGCTGGCTGGCAAAGCTTAGCCTTGCAGGAAAGAGAGAGGTCCTGGTAATAGGGAGACCAGAGGTGGGCGCAGGGATTTTGTTGATCTTTAAGGTGGAGAGAGAAGTCCTATTACCAACTGTGGAGAAGGAGAAGAAGTCCCAGGTGGAGGCCAGGAGGTCTCGAGAGCTGCGCGGGTACCGGATTGCAGCCCTCGGGCAGGTTGAGCACCGGCTTCAAAGAGTGGTGCGAAAACTGGCTCCGGCAGCCCAGGGGAGGGTAACCCCGGAGGGAGAAGGGAAGCGCGGGTGTCGTCACGCGCTCCTGGTCCAACAGGGGGCACGCGACCGTCCTCCTGTCCAGCCTCTCCCCTGACCATTCGGAGGTTTGGGTAAACCGGTGAATCCACGAGGTACTTCGCAGAGAAGCCCCTTCTATCAACTCGGAGTACCGACGCGGTGTTGACTGTCCGGCATGAGGGTTCCGCGTCCGAGGGGCAGAAAATGCTGGACTTACCGAAGGCTTCTGAGTCATCCAGACGCGGTTGGAATCCCACCTCCTCCACTTTCCAGCCTCAGTTTCTCTGTCCTAAAAGTGTGGCTAATAACGGTAGTCACCTCTTAGGGCTGTTGTGACGAATAAATGGCACAACGTAAGTAAAGCCTTTAGAGCCGAGCCGGTACCTAGTATCATAAGCGGGGCCTATGGTCATTATTGTCAACATCTCCAGCTCTCTAGGGCGGGTGCTAACTGCTGGTCTGTTCGCCATGAGGTTCAGTAGTCCCCAAACGACAACATTAGATGCTTGGACGGACTGCGCAAAGCTGGGCGCACCGAAAGATCCAGCAGGTGGGCGGGGGTTGGTGGTGACGTGAGACTTGGGGACCGACCTAAGCTCTCGCGTCCTCCTCCACCTGCTCGGCTCCCAGAAGATTTGCCAGAGTTGGTGCCAGGGCGGGGCAGTTGACGGGGTGGCTGCCCAGCTCGTCTCGACCAGCTCCGTCGGTCTGAGGCTGCAGGATTCAGAATGGCTTTGTGCGGGTGAGTGCCGCGGTAGCAGAGAAAAGTGGGAAGTCAAACCTGGCCAACCTGGCGCACCGTCGGAGAGCAGCCAGGTGCGGGGGCCCCGAACGCCAGGGCCGGCCCAGGGAGGCGGCATGGGTCTTTAAATTAAGTCCAACCTGTACCCCATGTAGGTGTTGGCAGCGCATGGGGACGCTCGCTGTTGCTGCGCCCCCAGGGAACACTGGTTTTCCAGTTGGAAAGTTCGATGTGGAGATTGTTTCTCGTGACCGCGAAGGTGGGAAGAAGCTTTCGGAGCGCAGGGTTCGGGTCTCGCAGCTTGGAACTCCGAAGCTCTAACCCGGGGCACCGGCCTCTTTCCTGCGCCTCGGGGACGTGTTTCCCCCTCGTGGGGATCCCGGGCTCTGGACGGTGGGGGAGCTGAGGCTGCGTCCCTTCCGCAGCTTTAGAAAACACCCGAACAGTCAGGGATTTGGGGGAGTCGATTTTCAGGTCCACAAGCACAGCCTGAAGGAGTGAGCGTCTGTTAAGAGCCCCTAAGGAGTAGCATAATAATTAACGGGGGAAAGGAGATTTGGAGGTCTCCCTTAATGTTTATAAACTACGAAGAAGGATCGGAAATCCACTTTGTGCCTTTTTATTATCCCCCAAAGTTTCTTTTCTCTGTATTTCTCAAAACTAGAATCATCATTTGGCACCGACAAGGAAGTCATGTCACGAAAATGTAAAAACGTGTTAATGCGATGATGTTTTATGAACATTAAAGTGAAGCATACGTTGTACAGAGGATGTGGCTGAGCGAGGGGAAGGGAGGCAGCCTTCGCATCCATCAGATACCCCTGGCTGAGGCTTGCTTTCCAGCGGTCTCTTTTCCCCAACATTTCCCCCACCCAACTTTCCTTACTGTGTGACCAAGGAGGCCTGGCACCTCTCCCAACAGGTTCCAATGAATTGAAAGCCAGCAAATCCTGGGCAAACTTGACTTTTCCTGCACAATTGGACAGCTTGGGATCATGCACAAAAGGTCTGGGTTTTATAATATCTGATGTTTGCTGACTTTGTAGCTCTATGAGATTAAGGTTGCTGGCTGGTGTGACCTTGGGGGAATTAAAGCTCCTCCCTCAGGAGAAACTTCCTTTTTTAAACTTTTCTTTGCCTTTTAAGTTTTCTTTTACTAAAAACTGGTTTTGAAAAGGGTACTTCTGATTTTGTCCTTCTGAGATAAGGTAGCATAATAATTAAAGGGAAAAAAGGAGACTTGGAGGTCTATTTTAATGATTACAAATAAAGAAAAATCAGAAATACAATTTGTGCATTTTTATCCCCCAAAGTTCCTTTTTGTATTTTTCAAAACTAGAGCCATCATTTAACACTGACAAGGAAGTTATCCCACAAAAGTGCAAAAACATGTTTGTGAGGTAATATTTTATAAGCATTAAAACGAAGTACAGGTTGTACAGAGGTTGAGGTGTTCCAACACGCACTACATCCAGGAAATGATCATTATGTGCTGCGCAATAAGCTCAATAAATGTCATTGGGTAAACTTCTTTTATACACTATGGACTACTTATTTGTTATGTATAGATCCTGTTCTAGATTGTCCCATTAGTGCTTACAGCAGCACTTTTGTTTTGCTTTAAAAAAAATTTTTTTTTCTTTCATGCTACAATGGCATAGTTGACTCTTGTTTTTTTTGTTTTTTTTTTTTTAGCTGAGCCATCCTGCCACTTGTTGGCAGCTCAGCGGCAGCTCAGCTTGGGCTGGACTCGAACCACTGTTGCTCAGAGCTCAAACTCTTGAGCAAGCTCTTAACCAACTGAGCCACTCGGCCGGCCCTCATAGTTGACTCTTTTAAGAAGGGCACAGCTCACAGTGGCCAATGCAGGGATCCAACCAGCAACCTTGGTGTCATCAGCACCATGCTCTAACCAACTGAGCTAACCGGTCATCCCTACAGCAGCACCTTTTGAAGAATGTACTCTTATTATGTCCACTCTACAGTTGTGAAAATGGAGGAAGTAAGTTCCCTGAGGAATACACTGGAAGGAGCAGATTGAAATTCAGCTCTATTTGATTCTAAAGCCAGTATGTTTTGATTATGTGGGACACTTTATTCATAATATTTCATTCAATGCATATCTGATAGCCCTACTATGTGCTACTATGCCCTACTGGGTGCTGGTAATACAGCTGTCATGACCTCCTGAAGAAGTGGCGACTCTAGCATATTTGACATCATCAGCTGATCATTTTTAACATCTCCCCTCCTCTATAGAACAGAATTATTTTCAGTAATAATCACTAATACTGATTACTTTTCTTGCTTTAGTCTTTCATTTAAAGACAATGAAGAATAAGCTACAATTTAAAAAGATACTCAAGGGCCGGCCGAGTGGCGCGTTGGTTAAGAGCTGGCTTGGGACTCCAGCTCTGAGCAGCAGGGCCCTGGTTCAGATCCCACATGAGGGCCAGTGACACTGGCCTCTACAGCTAAGATGGTAAACAGCAGCTCTACCTGGAGCTGGGCTGCCATGAGTCACTGGTGACAGCGTGAGCTGCATCCCCTGCTGCAGTGGGCTGCCATAAGCTACTGTGAGCGGCTGGCAGCCAGCGTGAGTGGCCGGCAGCCGGTGTGAGCTACCAAGAGCCACTGTGAGCGGCCATCCAGAGGCCGGCGACCGATCTGCCTCATCCAGGAAGATCGCAATAATACCAACATGGGCCAGTGAAATGATGTCCTCCACAACTAGACTGAAGAACAAAAGGACAGCAACTTGTCTGTTCCCTTTCCCCCGATTCCCCAGCGCTGTTCCCTTCCCCCAAGTCTCCAATAAAAAAATCTTAAAAAAACAACTACCCAAGTTGGTCTGAGAATGTTAGAGCAGATTTTGGAGGTGCTAACCCGCTCCCTTTGCAGGCCACCAATGCCCTAATAATGAACACTTATTCTATAGCCCAACTCCTGTGTCAGTCTACCGGCTAAGAGGCTCAGGTAGCACAAGCCCCAGACTCGTTTGGTCTCTGGTTTCAACACCACTTCCTTTTTCCTTGAGTTTATGGCAAGACGGGTACTGGAAGAGGTAATGAAGAGGACTTGACCACTGGTTGACCCGCAAGCTGGGCTCAGGCTCTTCACCCTGCCCTGTCTCGGAATGTATTGGGTTGTCGGAAAAGTCATGATGCAGTTTTGCAATGATAAACATAGATCAAATATGTCATGACTTTTCCGACAACCCAATACCTTCCACCCCACTATTCCCATAATGGGAGCTATTCCAAGGATGCAGCCTTAAGAGAGTAAGGCGCTGTGAGACCATCTGGACAGTATAGGTGGCTGACTGCAGATAAGGTCTCTATACAAACTTTAAGATTCTGGTGGGTGGATATGAAGATCTATTCATCTTTCAGCCACCAAGACAAGCCTTCCATGTAAGTTCCCGTGTTTATTAAACCTGCCACCTACTAATCTGGAGTGGTCTGCCTCTTTCTTTGGTCTTTCCTTGCCTTCCGTATACAGGGCCAGTTTGCAAACCAACACCAGGGTCTTTTGTCCCTGCTTCAGTCCTCTGAACTGTTGATCCCTTCCATCTTCTTTTTTTTCAACATACACTTATTGAACATCAGCAGAGACTGGATTTGGGGAGGAGGAGGGGTAGTGACGATGTGGGTTAAGAAAACCATCTCGCAACTCAAGGCAATCATTCACCAGGTAAGTCAATGGTTAGTGCCTGCTGTGAGCAGTCATGTGCGAAGGTCTAGAGGTAGAAAAATGAATAGGACATGGCCTCATTTCTTTGGATGTCGCCTTACAGCTGATTCTTAGACCACCCCCCCTTCATTAGCCTCTGACCCATTAGTCGAGAGAGTG